CTTTAGAGTGACTTTGTTGGGGTAATGCAGAGGGTAGCAGATAGCCACGTAGCGGTCAACTGATATGAGCACCATGCTTTCTGCTGAGGCTGAGACGATGATGAAGGGTAACAAATAATACACAGCACATACGAGGTCACCCAAGAACCAGCAGTTGTCTGCTAAGATGATATCAGCCGGCATCACAACAAGGCCCACGAGAAAGTCTGAGACAGCCAGGCAGAGGAGGAGGAGGTTGGTGGTGGTGTGAAGCTGCCTGCAGTGAGAGAATATAGTCACTATGAATATTAACACTGACAGTATTATCACTAACAGTTTCAGCTGAGTAATAAATTCAGTGGTTATGGTTAAAACTCCAACATAGCAAAACAGTCTGCTGCAAGCACTATTCACACACAAAGGTTAGGATATTCTAACATCCCTCAGCTACCCTAAATCTTCATCTTATCCTTGTAAATAAAACAATGACAGTATATTAGCATTGCTGAGGTGCGTATCTCTGCCTGAAATGGGAGATGGAGATGATGACCAGCAGGTTAAGAGCTGTAGTGAGCACAGAGATGAGGGACAGAAAATAGAAGAGCGTAACTCCAGAGCGAGGGCGCGTTGGCTTCCTGCAGGAGCTGTTGAGGAGTTGTGGAAAGCAGAGTTCAGCTTCATCCAGGGTCTGCATCATCTCAGAGGAAGGAGATTAGACGCTGCTGAGCTCTGGCAGTTTTCTCACCAAACTTTGTGTCATACAGCTGATTTATCTCCTCTCATTCCCCCACCACCCTCTCCTGCTGTCTCTCAGGATCTCTCCTGGATACTGACCTCACCATGCCCTCGCTCCTTGCATCATACTCTTCGATAGCATCTTCTCCTGTCTGTCTCAAGTTCAGATTTGGTTTGATGGTGTTTGGAGTTTATACAGTAGTAGGGTACTGCATGGGCCTGAAACATCAGCCTGAGCCCAAACCCACCACATTTATTCCAATTTAAGCCTTGCCTCAGGCCCAACAGCTTGTGTAACCTTACAGCATGAATCTGGCCCAAGCCAGTATGTTGTTATGTCTCTGCATTATGTTTTCAGGTTGTGCGTTCGTCCTTCTGTCCATGTGTACGTCCCTTTATATGTCCCATTCTTGTAAATACGATATCACAATAACACTGTAACGGAATCTCTTCAACTTGGGCACAAATGTTACCTTGAACACATGGATGAAGTGCTTGGTTTTGGTGGTCATAGATCAAAGATGAAGGTCAGTGTGACCTTGTATGTCTCATTCTCATGGATGCGATATCTCAAGAACGCCTTGAGGGAGTTTCTTCAATTTGGCACAAACGTTTACTTGGACTCAGGGATGAACTGGTTAGATTTTGTTGGTCAGAGGTCAAGGACACTGTGATCCATCTCCATCCATCTCTTTCTTGGGAACGCAGTATCTAAAAAACATCATGCAGTATAGGATTAATGTTTTAGATGTTCCGTTTCAAAATGAGGCTAAATTTTTCTATGGGTGTCAGATGGTCAGGCTTGTTGTTTTAAGCTGAGCCGCTGTTCCTATCAGCTGGTTAAAGGCATAGTTAGGGTTTTTTGAATTAGGGTTGTGCTGGGTATTTATCCATAGTAGGGATGCACCGAAATGAAAATTTGTGGCCGAAGCCGATTTAATATTAAACGCTTGGCCGAATACCGAGTACCGAATACCGAATGCCGTTTTTTAGTTTTTCATTTTTTTTTTTTTGCAGATGAACCCCCTCCAGATTAGTGTTGTCACGGTACCAAAATTGGGACCCACAGTACGATACCAGTGAAAGTATCACAGTTCTGAGTATTATCAGGATACCACAGCCAAAATGAGACAGATGTGCCTTTTGTCATTTATAAAAAGATAAATCACTTTTCTATAATACATCAATGATATTTCAATGGAATAAATTACTTATTGACTTATTCATACTTCAAAAACAGCATCAATCAGTGATTAATATAGGGGGGATCAAAATAAAATAAAAATCAACCAGCCACCCTCCTCCCCTGACAAGTCTCTTCGTAAGTAAAGAACAGTCCTTAAAGTGCGGTGAGGTTTGTGGGCCGTTACCTGCCACAAAGAGAGAAATGTGAACGGCTCGTTTCTCCTCTGATACGCCACATACTGTGTGCCGCCACAGTCCTCCAGGCTTGGTGGAGATAATGATTTGTAGCCTAGATTCTGACTCAGGGACCCTCTTTTATCGCCTCAAGAAGCAGCACACACCTACAGTAAAGTCCCTCTTCATGGTAGCTGATATTTGCTTCAGTGGTGCATAGTCTTTAACTGGGCTTCTTGTGTTCTGAGGCTCCCCACATTTTACCCAGTAGATAATCCAGCCATGAACTTTTGCATTTAATATCTCATAATCACAGAGTGGTTACAGGTCTGATAACTCTGAGATGCTGTTTGTCCTCCTCAAAACATGCAAATATTTCATTTTATTGTGAAACAGGACAATCTTCTGCACACATCTGACTGTCATCAGTTATACTGTCATAGAAACCTTGGGTCCTTTTCATTATGCTAATTATGGGGTGGGGGTTCACTTTCTGTTAACTGTTTTTTTTTTTTTTTTTTATTATTCCTTTCTGTGTGTCACAGTGTCTCAGTCTGGGTCCCCTCTCTAAATTTAGAGCTTTCTGCAGGTCTGTAACGTAGCACAGGCAGAAGTCTTCTTCATTTCTTCAGTTCATTTTTTTTCCCCTCAGCAGCAGTTTGTGGAGTTTTGATTTGAAGGGTGGATATTTAGTCAGTCGAGCTGATCAGGTCAGATCAATGACCGATAATTGCAGCTACTGCAGAGGAACTTTTAGGACGTAAGCGCAATGAACGGTTAAGTTCCACTTTCACTGCATCTGATGTTATTTTGCTCTCTCTGTGTGCAGAGCATGTTCTGTGCTCTGTGAGTATGAAGCAATGAATAACCATATAAATATAAATATATTCCAACAGTGGCAGTGCTCCTAAGAAACTGTCCAGCTCCAAAAATAGAAAATCAAACTTTGGCGACAAATGTTTTAACTGTGGCGGGCCGCCACAAATAAATGAGTATATGGGAAAACCTGCTGACGCCATGGAGCCAAGGTGTTTGGCAGCTTTGGCTCCTCCGTCCTTGTGTCTCTTCCTAGCCTCCTGTGCCTGGATACCATAACTTTACAGGTCATGGCAAACTTGTCCTCAACTTCATCATTTCTTTACTTTTGATTTATTCTTAAGCAATGATTGCATCATAAGTTGATGTGAGGAGATTGAATCATGTTTTTATTTTGGAGCTTTTATTTTCTAACACCTCTGATTGCCGTGGTGCAGCAGAGGTTCAGATGTCATCATCAGGTGTGAAAACACTCTTTAATCAGAGACATACTGAGCCATTAAGAGCAGCTAATGACCTACACAGAGTGCTGTTCAGTGCCCAGAGACAAATTAAATGTGAGAGGTTTTAATGACGTGTGTGTGTGTGTCTGTCTGTCTGTTTTGTGGAACTACTGTTTGCAACACACAGGACAGATAGGTAATGTACAGTAAATTGGTATTTCCATAGCAAAACAGACACTGATCTGCAAGGTCAAAAGTATGTGGACACCCCTGTTCAACCCTGTCCATAATCTGAGTTAAGGTGTTTAGATCCATTGAAGGTAGATCTTAATGCCACAGCATACACTTAAATTTTAAACTAGAAAAGTGCACACAGTAGAGTGCAGATCACCATCACTTGGTCAAATCCAAAGGTCTCATCCACATTACTGAAATCAGGTAAAAATCATCAATGACACTGAATATCTTTAGATAACACTAAACTACGTTTTCTGTAAACTACTCTGATTACTATACTCTCTCCAGATCTCACACACGTTTCCACTGTTGTCCTCGCAACAAGTGACATCTCATGATATTTCAGATAAAGACTTCAGCTTAACAAGGCAATAACAAACAGACCGGACTAAGTGAAGGTAAACTTCAGCCTCCCATAATAACAATCTGAGCTGCTCTGTGGCAAAAATAACCACTTTAATGGACATATAGTGACGATGTGTAATTGCCCCGTGTGCTTCCATTGCAGCCTGTCCCACGGCTGCCAGCTGCTGCCTACTCACACAATACTGGACCAATTTCAAAAATTGTTGTTCACGTCAATCTCTTTGATTGATTTATATGGGGAAATGGCTCCAGGTTGAAAAATGCCAAAGTTATCCTTTAACTGCCAGGGTCAACATGGGAGATAAAAGGTGGTTCATGCAACCTCAGTGTTATATCCATGACTGCAGAAAAACGAAACTACTTTGTTTACTGGAGTTAGCAACTATATCACTTGAACATTCAAAAGCATTTTTTTTAAAATGTATGTCTTTGGGGAATCAAACCGCACACTCTGTAGGTTTACAGCTAATGTAAATTCAAGTCTTTTTGCGCTTGCAACAATGCCCTTTTCTGGAGCCATTTACACCCAGATTTTTGAACAAATCTCAAAATGAACACTTTGGTTTAAAAAAAAAAAAAAAGTTATTTTTTTGGTGATCAGCATGGCTTTTCAAAAGTTTGGAGTAGATTTTTTTTTTTTTTTCATTTAGACTGTCTGGAGGGGCATTGCTGCATAACATGATATCAATTACCAGTGGAGTTTTAAGAGGGTCCGTCGAGGTTAAAATGACAGTTAAAACATTGCTTTTTATATAATATGATTGTCAGTGACGACTTCTCTGACCTAGGGATCTGGCCTGCGTGTCTTCAATTGAATGCTTTCATCAAATGAGATGTCAAAAACTATGCTGCTTGTCCTGTCATGTGTGCAGGTTTGACCCACTTGGTCAAACACCAGAGGCTGTGTTGTTGCTAATGCTTTAATGAAATTGTTTCTCAAAACAGTTGAGGCACCTTTTTCCCCTTTTTGACAAACTAACATGCTTGCATTGCGATGTCCCGTCCCACTGCGTTGCTATGCCAAGAAATCAAAGTTCAAAACAAATCCTATAAATGATTCAGCAGTTTGCAGAGACTTCACTGTCACTGTGCTCGCGATACAGGTAAATATACCTTTCATAACACATCATGTTTAAGAGAAACCTGCTGACAAAAAACGTCTATTAATTAATTCTTATTCTGTTTCAGCTGCAAGGACTCGACAGAAGTAAGGAAGAAAAACTGTTAACCGTTCAACGTTACACTTTAAAGGTCTGTTTTGAGTTCTTACTCTATTATCCAGCTGTTTATGAGAGTTTATTTATATAGGGCATTTTGCTCATGGCTGTGTTGTATTTTGGTTTAATAGATTTTTCTGTAGGTCTCTGATATTTTTTACAGAGCTTAGAGTTAAGTTTTTCTTCACAATTTTGTGCACAGTTATTATCTTGTGAGCACAATATATATTCTATTTTTTTTAAAGAAACTTAAGGGGTCCATACATTTTATTTCAGCTGTTTCCAAATTTTAAGCAAAAAATCATTTGATATCACTGCAGATGACAATTCAGAAGGAGCTTAAAAGGAACCCCGACTAGTTAGACATGTAGGC